TCTTACCCATGGGCCCCAACCACAGCAACTCCCTGGGCACCAAGTCCAGCTACACCTTGAGAAGCAGGCCTGAGCATCTGGTGTTAGGGCGGCAGACAGATGCTGCTGTTCATGGAGGGCTGCTCTGTCCAGGGCACTGAGTGAGGCAGCATTACAGGCACAGAGGGACATAATCCTCTGAGAACCAAAAACAGAAGGACCTTTGTTAACCCCATGGACACATGAGGACACCTGCTCAGAGGTTGTCCAAAGTCATGTGCCCAGACGGAGGTGAACTGGGATCTTAATCCCAGGTCCTCTGATCCCACTATAGTAGCCTCTGGGCAGCCTCTGACCCGCCCTCTGTGAAAGGCCAGGCAGCACAGGGTGGCCCTTGAGGACCCGATGGACACCGAAAACCAGGTGTGGATAGTCACAGGCAAGGGGACAGATTATTACAACACTTGATGTGACACCTATTTCTAACTTAGAACAGCACATGAGTGTTTGTAAGAATTGCATGTATGTCTGAGTACATCACTTGGGATAGAACCTCTCCAAACATGTATTCAGCCACCGAGAACTCTATGATATTCTGTGAAATACATGATTACAGACAGGTGAGGTGTTTCATCTGGCATTGATAATTGTGCCTATAATAAGACACATTCATGAAAATGTTCAGTAATATTTAGTAACCATTAAGAACTGCTTACATTGTGTACCTTAGGCCAGATAATGCCTTTCATATAATATTACTATTTAACTTACCCTGTCCACAGAGGACAGGCATAGTCCTCAGGATGGGTCATAGCACTAGCTAATGAGACTGAGACTCCATTCCTCTTTCAGAATGAGGCAGGGTACAAATGTATAGACAATAAATAAAATCAACCTGACTAAGATTCCTTTTTGTGTGTGTTTTTCCTTACAGTTTCCCCACTTCTTATGTTTATCTCGATCTTCATGTAAAAGCCCCTGTCCCACTTAGTTCATCCAATCACCTGCCACCCTCTTTAGCCTACCCATGTTGCCATCACCTTCTGACAGACCTTCCCTACCTTGAACAAAGCCTTCCTCATCTCAGCCATCCCAGCTCCACACCAGGTACCAGCATCATGCTGGGAACTCAGCACCTCCAGGAGCCCCTGCCACCAACCTCCTGGCCTCACAAGGTGCTCTGTTCAGAGCCAAGGAGAAAGTCTTCTCTCCCTGCCCCACAGCCAGCTACTCCCACGAGGGCCATTGCCCACAAGGTCCCTAGGGGAAACTTCTCCTCTGAATGAAACCTCTGATTCAAACACTCTACACTGTCTATATTTTCCACCCTTCCAACTCTAGGGATTATCTCCTCCTGGGAGACTCGGGGTACCTGCTATTCAAAATGACAGAAGCTGAGAGGAATCAGAAGCATAGCCAAGGACTTAAATCCTTTAATGACCTGTGTGGCCATTGGCAGCAGCAGGGGACCTCAGCTATGGGGGTTGTGTGGGGCCTGGATGAAGCAGTTGATAAGATTCCTCGAGGCTCAGAGATCCAGGCATCACTAGTTCTTCCTGGCCTGAGGCACCTTAATCAACTCAAGAGTTGGTGACCTCTCAAAGAAGCAGGTGAGTTGCAATGTTGTTGTCCATTGCCTTTTTCACATGTTCTGGGGTGATATGCTTTCTGTGGTTGCTGTGTGCCTCTTTGGCTGCCAGATGCAGGATCTTGGCCATCAGATATTCCAGAGCATCAGCGAGGAAAACAGGAGTGAACGAGCTCAGGCACTTGGCACAGTGACCCCTTCTCAAGAAAAGGCTGATGGAGAACTGCAGCTGTGCTCTTCTGGAGCGGGTGATGGATGGCCTTCTATGTGTATGGTAGCCTCCATTGCACTTGTTTTTTTGTTTTGTTTTGTTTTTGCTAGTCGTGATATTTGATATTTGCTGGGTTTTGCCCCAATTGGCCTATTTTGACTTTCTCACTGGCCAGAGCCTCTTGGGATACCAGTGCTAACTCCTGCCTACTGTATTCCTGCATACATTCCCTCACTGTTAAGGAACTGCCTTTATGACAGTCTAGACTTTGTGATTTAATTGGTGCCCATTGGGTCCTCATAAAGCCTCAGTCTAGAAACCCAGTCACCCTAATGAATGGGACTTCTTGAGAAAACTCTTTCTACTTGTCTTCAAGATGCTCGGGGGGGTGGGGTGGGGTGGGGAGTGATGCAATGGAAACATTTCCCTGTCTTCAGGATAACACTTCATTTTCTCTGATTCTAGCCTCACATCACTCGTGGGCTCAGCTGTGCCCCCCTGTTAGTTGTACATCACTGACAGACATGCTGGGCTTCAGCCTGACCCATCCTCCAGGGTCCAGAGACTTGATCAAGCCCCTACAGTGAATCGACCAGACTCAAGGAGTCTTAGTCTAACCAAACTCACTCAAGACTGAAGCTCATAGACACGGTCATTATTCACTGACTACGAGAAAGAATCTTGAACAATGGAAATTTAATCCCACCCACACTGTAATAAAGTCAGCTTCACCTTTACACATTTATTTTAACACCACTAGTCAGTATTCTTATGTTTGTCCTTAGACTCTTTTTGAAGTTGGTTTTTACATCTGTTTGTTCATGAGTTGAATGAATTTTTAAAATGTGCAATTTTTTTAAAAAAAGTATTAAACTGAAAGCAAGAACATACTCCACAAACCTGCTCCCGCTCTACTAATACACATGGAGACACGTGGCTATAACTGCCTATGTCAGAAAGCTGGGAGCCATTTTTGATCTCTCCCTCTGCCTCACCTTCATATTCAATCAATCATCATGTCATTACTCTGATACTGCTCCAGTAATCCACTCTGTCGATTTCAGTCCGAGGCATTACCATCCTCACCATGACAACTGTAGCAGCACACTTCTTTGCTTCCCTGTTTCTCCCCTCACACCCTTCCAGTTCATTTTCCAAAGTCATCAGTTCTTAAAACTATAATAAACCTAAACCTGATCACAATACTGTGTTCCTTAAAATTCATCAGTGCCTTCCCATTGCTGCAGGGATAAAGCTTAAAATCTGGGATGCTTTTATTCACTCGGCCTCTCCTCTTCACTTAACTCATATCATTTTAAGTCTAAGTTCTAGAATTCTATGCCTCATCTCTCAAACTCGGTTAGATTCCCCTAGTATACCCTCACACAGATCCCTTAACCTTGACATTGCAGGATTTAACAGAAATAAAATACATGATACATTATTTGTTTCATTCTTGCCTATCCTATTCAAAGATGATAAAAGCCTGTCTACCTTATTCACCACTCTGTCCTCAGAGACTAACACAAGGTCTGAAACACAGAACACAGTCAATAAACTTTCACTGAATCCACGAATGAAGTCACATAAATCTAACCTCAAATCCTAGCTCCTCTGGCAGACTTTGAGTATAATTTTCTTCTTTGGCAAGACAGCGATAATGTTATCTATCTCACAGGTACGCTGTGAAAATGAATCACGATGATGCCCCATTCGCAGTGCCTGGTGCCTGCCACAAAGCAAGGGTTCATGAAAAAGACGTTATTACTCCTAACATCACCACCTTCAGTGGAAGAGAGAAGGGCACTGTGAGTTCTAGGCAGGCCAAATAGCAGGCTGCAGGGACCTTGACAGAAAAGAATAACCCTAATGTTCTCTCCTGGGCTTCAGCCTGGCCCATCCTCCAGGGTCCAGAGGCTTGACCAAGTGAACCAACCAGACTCAGGAGGCTTAGGATAACCAAACTCACTCAAGACTGAAGCTCACAGACACAATGTCCATTATTCACTGACTATGAGAAAGAAAACTTTCCAACAGTGTATCATTTCATTTATATGAAATACACACGAGAGGCAAATTCATAGAGACAAAAAGTCAATTAGTATTTGTCATGGGCTAAGGACAGGGGAAATGAGGATTGACTACGATTGAGTAGCAGGCTGTTGTTTTTTGGCATAATAAAAATGTTCTAAAATTAGATAGCAATGTCTGTACAACATTGTGAATACACTCAAACTTATTGAACTGTACACTTAAAAAGGGTGACATGTATGTTATATAAATTATGTTAGAAGTAAAAAAAAAACAAAAAAACAAAAAAAATACAAAAAAACAACTCTACAGTGATCATGTAGCTGGCTTCACCTTCTCTCCCTTATGCTCGACTTTGCTGAGGGCAAACATATCAATGTTTTCTCAGTGAACACAGAATCAAAGAGAGGAGAGGGTTACAGAATTTGAGTGCTAAATGGAGTCAGGCTATGATGGACTCTATGTCCTTCTCCTTCCGAAAGGATAGATATGTCTATCATTCTGGACCTCATTCAGATGGTGTGGCAGATGCTGTTAGTTGCCCGTTCAATATCCATTACCCCTATCTTCTTTTAAGAAAACACAGTTTTGTTCTTGGTGTCAATAAGCCTAACCCCAGGCAAGCCATCACTACCATAATCTAATGTTCCCAAATTATGTGGACAATAAAACCACTTGGAGCCCTTATTTAAAAAACAAAGGAAAAATAAAATTTAAAAAAGATATTCCCTGGGATCCCAACTCCAAATCACAATTTTCAGAGATGAGTCTTGGTAATCTACATATTGAACAAGTTCTCCAGGTAAGTCTAATTATCATCAGGGAAGTTTGAGGAATACTGGTCTAAGTCATTGGTGGCAATCATTCTCAGGCCTGGCTTTCCTAGCATCCATTGCATCTAGGTGACTGTGTGATCAGCCCTGGTCAATGAGATCAAAACTGAAGTCTATTAGGGAGATTTTGGGGAAAGCTATACTCAGTAATAAGAGGAGAAAGACACTCTCCCTTCCTTCTCAGCTCTTCTTCCCACCTTGAATGCAGTTATGATGGTCGGAGCTGCAGTAGCAACCTAAGAGAAAGGACAATCGATTTGCAAGGACATCAATTTTGCCACCGTTGAACAGATTAAATAATGTCAGCAATTGCCTACCTCCAATTTCTTGTAGAGGAGCAAAGTAAACCCTGGGTTATGTAATGCAGTAGTTAGGCATTTCCCTCTTGCACACAATACATTCCTAATCATAACATAGACACCACCAGCATTTGTCTCTGTGACATACCCTGACCCATGCTCCACTTCTAAGGGCCTCATTCCTTCTAGGTGAGGGATTCCTTCCTCAAATATGTCAAGACAGTGATCAGGGTTAGTCAAGACCTTCATAAATGGCAGCCATCTGTCTTTAGAACAAGACCATGCCCACTTCCTTTGTCCATATCTATTTATTACTTAATTCTTAGAGGACTAATATTTTTTTCAAGTTATTTGGGGATATCTTAAAGATATCCTTGTGACAGTGATTTTTTTTTCCTTTAATTTACCAAAGAATGCATATGCTTACCTGAGAGAAATGAAGAGAGAAAGGGAAAGTGTGAAAGCATTCCCCGTGGAGCATGGTCATGCCACAATCCCTTCTCCTCTATTTCTCCCTCCTTTAGAGATTGAGGGCACTCACACACATGTGCCTGGCATGTTTCTCAAGCCACAGAGTATTGAACTCAAACTGCATTTGGCTATGTGGGATACAACTGCCTTAACCACCTGGCCACAGCCTGGTCTATGACACCGATGTTTTACAAGAAAGGTTTTATTTTCCTGAACAGAATTCTATCTGAAAAACTATAACAACTGTTAGCAAACTCTCTCTGTAAGGAGTCAGAAAGTAAATGTTTAGGCTTTATAAGCCATATGGTCTCTGTTGTAACTACTCAACTCTGTCATCATAGGCCCATAATAGCCATGAATAAGATATAAATGAAAGAGCATGACTGTTTTCAAATACAATTTTTACAAAAACAGGCAGTGACTAGATTAAGCCCATAGGCTATAGATTCCCAACTCTTCAAGTATGAGGTGGTCTTCATTATCAAAAACTTGAGGGGAAAAATTTTGAATCTACTTACAAAAATCAAATAGGCTGGAGCCACCAGGTGGTGTGGTAGTTAAGGCACTGGATTCCACATGGCTGACTCCGTGGTTAGAGTCCTGGACCAGTGGCTTAAAAAACATGTGTGTGTGCCCCAAATCCTAAGAGGAGATTGGAGAAGAAGAGATTGCAGTATCTTTCCAGGGAGTGAGTTCTCACTTTCCCTCTCTCTGTGTCTCTTCCTGCCTCTCTCTGACGAATGCACTATACTCTATGGCAAAATGCCTAAAAAAAATTAAATAGGTCATTATAATACATGGTTTTTCACTGTGTCCTTGACACATAGAAGAACAAAAGGGTATAGTGGCATGTAGAGGACTTGTATGGTCAAGATCAATTCCAGTTATAAGTCCTTAGAGAATAAGGATGCTATCATATTTATTGAGAACCTACTATGTATAAGAAGTTGTGGGAAGTATATTCAAATAAATGTCATTCCACTAGAGGTAAAGAGCTCAACACAAGGTCCTGAAATACATCTTAAGAGTCACAGTCAGGCACCCTGGATAAGGGAGATAGATGGCTCTGACATGCAAACATCCTGGGACCCTAACATGAATTAAGACATTTTACCATCCAGTTTAAGTATAGGCAGAAGGACGAAAGTAATGGAGTGAAATAAATTAGTGTATTTTTAATTCAGATGTTAGTACTTTCTTAAATATGCATTTTTTTCAGCTTATGGCTTTTAAATAATTTTGCCTATGTACAGTAAAACTTATCAGAATATGTTGTTTTCAATTACCCATAATATTAATATGGGACGGGGTATCTCTCCTTTTCAGTTGAAGGTTTTTTGGTTGTACCCAATGCAAATTTTTTTCTTTTCCTTTTTGAAATTTGAGTTAATCTCAATGTCATGGTATGAGAATAATCCACTGGTTAAAAAACTGTGCTTGCTTAAAAGCTGATACACCTATTAGAATATCAAAAAGACAGAAAAGTGTCTTGGCTCTATCACTCACCACCAAGCTGTTACCACCATTTCAGTTAGTTTAGAACTACTGCTGAACGACAGAGGTGAAATCCCATGTGGTCTAGCCTCTGGCAGCTGTATTTTTGGTCTCTAGCAAGCTGCATTTTCTAAAAATGGCCACAGTGGTATTTTTGGTCCCAGATGATCTTCCAGAACTCTACCATTCTGTCCAAACCATCAGAGTTTACTTCTCTCTTTTTCCTTTGAACATTGGCAGGACCTTGTGATGCCCTCCACAAAGAGAAGGCAACATAATGATGTCTCATGACCTCCAAGGTTAGATACCAAAAGGTTATATGGCCTCCTTTAGTTCTAAGGACACTTGCCCTTGGAAGTAGCGACCACGTTAGAAAGACGTCCAAACTCACCCACATAGATCAAATTGAGATGATCTCAGACACCCAACAACAGCCAGCACCAAGACATGTGAGCAATAAGACATGTAAGTGAAGGGGCCTTTGATGGATTCTAGCCTATCTTTCTGAGCCCTGCCCAAAACACAGACTCATAAGCAAAAAAATGTTATTTTAACTCACTGAGTTTTGAGCTTAGTAACTGGAACACAGACTCAGGATCAAATGCAGGTATAAATGAATTTCACTTGAAACAAAATAATCTGTATGTTTTGCTTCCCATTTTGATCCCCAAACACAGGTAGAAATTTAAAAAAAAGTACCTCTTCCAATAGTGACGTTCTGCTGCAAGACGCTTATATACAGCTGCAGGGTCAGCTGGGGGGCCGAGCCCAGGAAAGCCTGGATCACTGATGCCCGACTGAATGCAGATCGGTGGGTAAACAGCTTGCCTTCTGCTTGGCCCACCTCCTTCTCAATCTCCTCTGAGAAGCCATTTTTTGGCAGCTGCCGCTTCTTGGTGATGCTGACATAAGGCTCTTCAGCATGGTTTGACTGACAGTAGATGCATATGGCTTCAAAGCACCTAGAAACAAATCGGCAAGGCATAATTAGAGATAGACAAGGTTCTGTCTTTTCTCAGTCACCTGCTTACTCTTAGTCTGATTTTCAAAGCCTCAACTTGGTTACCCTGGAATATACTCACTCTTCTAAGTCATCCACTCCAAGGACCAGTTCTGAACATGCAGCTCTGTTGAGGCCCTTCAGCAGGGTACTGGGCATTGAGAGGTGACACTGAATGCCATCAGGACAAAAAAAAAAAAAATCTACTAGAAAATGGGAATTATTTCAGGCTCCAGAGCCACAAAAATATATTTTTCTTTTCTGACACATACAAAGGGTCTTCACAAAGATCATGCAAAGTGAACATTATAAAAAACTATGCACAGATTTCAGCATTTTTTGCACCCAAATAAACTCATACGTTAATTCTATTTTTTTCCACAGACATTTTAAAATCTCCTCATATTATCTGTGCAGTCTTGGGCAAGTAACTTTTTTTTCCTCCAAATTCCTGGTTTAATAAGGACTTCTTTATTTTGAGGTAAAAAGGTCCCAAACATCAGGCTGTTCACAAAAATAACCCACAGTATCAACTTTAGAAAACAAATCTTGACTATTATACTATTTTCTAGAGGATGCATTTGACATGGCAACTCCCATTCACAAAAATACACTGTTACATTTGTGTTGAACAGTCTCACACGGCACTCTAATGTGGGGCATAAAACATATACTTCTAACTCAAAGCTGTTTTCAGGTGCTACTCAGCTAAATGATACTGCCTTTGCAGTTAGGGAAGCAACTACTGAACTCATCAATGAATGAAAAGAACTGTACTTCCTGCATAACGAGAGATTATTTTGTAGATAGTCAATAAAAATCATACATCCTTTTTATTGTTAAGTCATAAAGAGGTATCAAAATTAAAAGCAAAATTACAGGATAAGACTTAACAAAACTACTAGGAGCATCAAAAGAAGTGAAGTGGGACCAGATGCAGGGCAGTATGAATGAATGAACATGGGAAGGACAAAGATGGGGAAAACAGTGATCATGTGCTGAAGATACCAGGGGAGAGGATCTGGTGAAAATTTTGATCTTAGATAGGCACCTAGGTAAAGAAATAATGGGTAAGATTTCTAAACCCTACTATGTGCTTAAGAGTCATCCTTTCCTTCCTCAGCCTCTTCATCATCCTTGATCTTCATTATCATCATCATCCAGTAGGTTCCCCTCCTCAGCAGAGTCATCTGCGCCCCCCTCAGACTCCATCTTCACATGAGTCTCATCTTTCTTCTGGGAGCTGCTGCTCTGCTTTTTTTCTGACTTATCATTCTTCACCTCTACTGTTTGTTTGCTCTGTTCCTTTTCGATTTTTTCCAGGTTTTCCAGAAGAGAATCCACTTTTTGTTTTATCTAGGTCAACTCCTTCTTAATGGCCTGAATGTCATCTCCTTTCAGCTTTCCAGACTTGGAAGACGATCCTCATTGTCCACTCTTAGAATTGAAGCTTCTGCCCCTCCGTGAAGTGTTCCCAGATATACGCTGGCGTTTTGAGAGCACTACAGCACGAGCAATAGGAGGTGGTGGTGGAATACGTGCTGGGTAACTGTACATCCTGTCATAATAATAGCGTTCAAAGTCATAGTCCAAATCAAAAGAGGAGCTGAGTAGAGGGGACGGAGAAGGGTGTTCTGGTACTGACCCGTACATCTCTGCTGCAGATCGTTTCACACCTGCTTTTCCTTAGTTCACTTTTGGCTCTGCAGCCAGATTAGTATCTAAAATCTGGCCGGCAATCATCCTTCCATCCTCTCTTGCCACAGCAGCCCGGGCATTCCTCTCATTAACATACTGAATGAAGGCAAAGCCCTTATGAACAGAGCAACCCACAATTTTGCCATACTTGAGAAGATGGCTTCCACCTCAGACTTCTTGACCACAAGAGTGTTGAGATTCCCAATGAATACACGGGAATTCATAGAGTGAGGATCTGTCTTGTTGGTAACATTGCTGGCCATTGGGATTGATGGTAAGATTCCTCATAAAGCCAAAAGGCAAGAAGGTGAGGGAAAAGAGATTCAATTCTGAATCTCTCGCTCCCAGATTCTAGGCAAAGAAACCAACTGCAGCTGCTGGAGGTAGGAAATGTGGCTCCAACCACTCTGTCTCCAACTCTTCACAAAATGGCCCCGGGCAAGTAACTTATTCTCTGAGCCCTTTCCCTCAACTGCTGGGTTGTCAGGAAAGTCATGACGCATTTTTGCATAAAAACGTAGAAAAATGCATCATGACTTTCTCAACAACCTAGTATAAAGCAGAGATAATACCTATTTTGCAACACTGTTATGAAAAATGGCTACAGTACAATATAGATATAAATGGTTCACAGGTAATAGGACCCTAAACTACCTCAGTCAAAGCAAAAGCTATGGTTGGGAGATTCCCCAGCACAGGGCATCTAGCCATCGAGCATTTCAGGTTGACCACAATATGTTACTTAGCGCTCTGTTCTCACAAGGCCATAAAGGGCAGGGCTAGAGTCAATCACACCTGGAGCCCTGCCAGGTATGTCTTATTTATGTAATTCCAAGCCAGCCCTAGGGACAGAAACTTAACCAGTGACCTCTCCATGCTAATAGAAAACTCAGCTTTAAAAACTGTGATTTCTTCTGTACGTAATGATATGGATGCTGAAGGGGGAAGATGATGTCTACCATTTACTTTGAACTACACACATACATGAATTGATAGATGGACAGAAGGAAGAATACGTGTGTGAAACAAAATGTTAATCATATAATCTAGGTGGTATGTATGGGTGTTCACTGTAGAATTCCTTCAAGTCCTCTTCTGAATGTGAAAATTTTCATAATAAAATTTGGGATAAAATAAATTTTCCCTAGGAATAAAAAAAAAATGCTCAGAGCTCAAGGTTCAAAAACTGTTAGGGGCCTTTTCCCTGTCAAAAGTGCACTTTTATAACATCCTTTTAATACTACTGGAAGGTTTTATAGCTTCATCTATTTTATTGAATGTTGTTAACTTCATACTCTCATCCCGAGGCAACTATGGCAACAAGAATACACTTATAATTTGAAATAATAAAAGCTTAATATAAGAGAGGAAATGTAGGAAGGTTTCTGATCAGTGCAAAGTGAACATATTCTGTGATTACTACACTTTATTCATTTACTCCTAGAAGAAAGAAGGTGCTAAGCATTATGTGTGTGTGTGTGTGTGTGTGTGTGTGTGTCTGTGTGTAGGAGGGTATATTGTATGTTTGTCTACTACATTTTGTCCAGTGAGGCCTAGGATAACCTTAATATGCAACATAAAAACATGTAAAACAGCATGGACCAGTTTGTTTAGCTGAAAATAATGTTAATAAATTTCAAGTCATGAGTGTAAACCCAGCTAGTTTAATTGAAATTTCTCCAAGGGAAAACAAATCTATGACTGAGGACTACATACAGCCTAGCCACTTCACATAACTGGACCACTGACTACAACCCCAAAACTAGAAGATCAGGGCCAGCAGGTGGCATGGTGGTTAAGGCACTGAAATTTTCACATGGATGATTGCAGTTCGAGTCCCAGATCAGGCGGCTTGTTTTCTCTCTCTCCCTCTCTTTCTCTTTCTCTCTGTCTTTCTCTGGAAAAATTCATGTGAAAAAAAAAAAAAAAAAAAAAAAAAAAAAAAAAAAAACCTTAAAAGAAAAAAAAAAAAACAACCTAGAAGATAGCCTAAACTGGCCATAATCACTTTTATTCTCAAATATGTAATAAATGCAGATGTATTTTGCTAAGTTCAGTGTGGAATGCCAAGGCAATTGGGTACTCTGCCTTATTTGGAGTTGCTCATAATCTAATACAAGATAGTGGGACATAATAAGGATAAAAAAGTGAAAACAGCTAATATTTATATAGCACTTTCAGTTTATAAAACATTTTCTTATACACTCCCTCACTTAGAAAGAAGCCCGACTATAAGAATTTGAATCATTGGGACCAGCAGATGGCATAATGGTTATGTTGCTGGACTCCCACGTAGTTGACCATGGTTCAAGTCCTGGACCTGGCAGCTTAAAACTCATGCCAAGCACATGTGCATGCACACCCAAAATCCTGAGAGGAGAATAGAGAAGGGATTACAGCATGGCCATCCTCCCTGGGAGGTGATTTCTCACTTTATGTCTCTCTGTCTCTCTATCTCTTTGGGGAGCACACATACCCTATAGCAAAAATCTCTCTCTCAAAAACAAAAGGAATTTGAATCATAACATTATTGCAAAATTCTGAGAATACTCTAAAGGTCCAAGAAATAAAATAATAATTAAATAAATCATAATGCATCCCTTCAATGAAATTTTATGCAGTCCTTAAAACTGATGGTATAGATATACTTCTACTGATATATTGTCACCATATTTGGTAAGTGAAAGAAGCAAATTACAATAGAATATATATATAGGAAAATTCCATTTTCCTGGTAAAAAAATCACATACACATGTATAAAATATACAAAGTACACACACACAAACACACACACATAAATGGTAGAGTATTTGAGCTACCTCATACTGACTCAAGAAAGCTGACTGCTAAATAGAAACTTTGTGAGCCAGTTGTTAAACAATTGGTAATTTGATCAGACATGATGGGACTCTATATTGCAGAAGTCAGCAAACACTGAAAATCAGTACTTGCTTTCTTTGAGTTTACAAACATACCACTCAAAATATTAGTAAGGGCTTAGGCCCTGTTGTGCATCAGTATCACAAGTGTCCTGCAAGGCTGGAATTCACATGGCTGACAGCAGGTTCAGATCCCCAGGTTGGCTTGAAAACATGCTGATGTAGGCACCCAATATCCTCAGGTGCTGGAAGGGTGAAGAAAGGGGATCACAGAGAGACAAGATCCTGTTGAGGGTGGTCCTCCTACTCTCTCTATTGTATACATGCACATGTGCTCTCTAAAAAAAAATCAGTAAGGGACCAGCTTCATGGCACAGGTGGGAGGGCACTGCTGCAGGATACTGGACCCACATGGGGAACCTAGGTTCAGATCCCAGGTGGACCTGAACATGCTGAGCATATCCAGGCACGCCTGTGATCCTGGTTTGCTAGAGGCTGAGGAGAGGATTACAAGATAGCAAGACCCTGTCAAGGGTATCTGTCTGCCTATCTTTTTCGAAAAATAAACAGACTTAAGAAGA